ATTGTTTCTTTCTTCAACTACTGACGTTTAAATGCTAGCTAGTAACCAAAAGAGCATGATAATCCTGAATCTTCAGGCCATAAGTAAGACAAATCCAAAATATTTTATTAGTAAAGACAAAACCCATAATCTCTCACAAGGCCCACATAATTAGCTTGGGATTGAAATAAAAGGCCCAATCTCTTTAACTGGGCTTTTCAGTCAAACGTAAGTAAACGGACGTATAACATACATGACCCATCATCATCAATTTCCCCTCGTGTTCCACTCCTACGGCTAGACGAGAGAGAGAGCCACAGAGAGCCATTACTCTCGGCGTTGAGATCCAGTCAGCAGCCTCTTTCCCTTCAGATCAGCTGTAAAGGTATGTTTGGTAACTTCTCTCTTTACTGCAATTTTTGTTTTGCTTTGTTCTCTAAATCTTAGTCCTTTGCAATGAACATAACTTGATGAGAATTGGGAGGGAATGTGATACCCTAATGATGCGATAATGTTTGTCCAAATTTGAAGGGAAATAAATTTATTGTTTATTCGTGTCTCTGGAAATTTCGATATTGTGGTCTAGGACACTAGCGGCTGCTCCGTTAAGGTTATGTTTTGATTGAAGTAGTTCAAAAATTCAAAGGAATTGCACTGCAACTTTATGTTCTCTACGGCACCTTTGAGGTAGGAAGTAGTGGGAAGTTTCCCACTTGACAAACTGCTGACGAGCATATCAGGCGTATTTTACAATTCCTATCAACCCAGGCTAGAGAATAGCGGTGTTAATTGAGGGAGTGTCTTTGTGATTGAACAGGGGACTTTGTTGATTTAAGGAGGAAAGAAAAATATACATCCTGGGCCAAGTTATGGCTATTTGAAGGGGAAATCAGGATAAGTAGAGTAGGTGTCTTCTCATCTTTGCTTTCCTTGGCTTGTCATGCTTCACCACTATGCAGTTTTGAGTTGTATACAAAATATTCCGATCTATTAGAGAGCTTAGCTTTGTCCAAACAAGAAGAATTTGAAACGCATTTCATGGTGAGCAAATCTTAGCGATGAGAATTGTTCCATGGTGCACAACTAGTACTAGGTAGCAGAATTGCTGTTGGGATTTGATCAAGGGTTGGCAATTTTAATATGCAGAGTAATTAATTGAAGAAGCATGGTATCATTTGGCTCATGTTTTTTCATATTTCATGGCATGTTTTCTTTGGTTGCTTTGTATTTATCTATCCTGTTAACTGTCTGTGGGTATGTCTGGGCTATTCAAGGCCATAATAAGAAATTAAACATTGTTTAAAGAGCTATTACATATCCATAATACTTTCATTAGTCCTACTAAGAAGAAATAATTTGCAATAATAGATATCCCCGCTCTAATGATCTCCTAGAGAGTGAAAGCGTTACAGCTGAGAGGGAACGAAACTTAATATGGCATATTGGGTATTGAGCTTGCACATCCCTTTAGTTTTCAATCATGTTAGCAGTAGTCCACCACCTGCACTTTTTGAAGGTCACAGCAAAAATTAGTCTTGAGGTTGTCAATTTTGGCTGTGTTACTGATGCATTTGGCTTTTATTTATGCTTCTGCAGATGTTTGATGATCAAGACCTGGGATTTTTTGCCAATTTTCTTGGCATCTTTATTTTTGTTCTGGTGATAGCCTACCATTATGTGATGGCTGACCCAAAATATGAAGGCAACTGAAATTGGGGTGTTGTCCACTCAAATCAAAGTCTACGTGATAGTCAAACAGTGTCAATTTGTTTAGTTTGACCATTATGAAAGTTTTAAATAGATTATCTCACGTGAATTCTGTAATCCTTCAAACTTCTTTAAGGTTTTAGAATGTGAGGTGTGTTGTTTGTGGCAAGGACAATGTCCCTTGTTGAGAAAACCAATTACTTTACCATGCTGCATGCCTTCATGTGCTAGACATTCCATATTTTACCCTCGTTAGTGATGAAATTTGCATGTCTTTTTGTATTGGCTCTCTTGCTTCATTAGCCGAGGAAGGTAACTCTCATGAGGTCTTGCCATTAAAATTGGCTAATGACAAAGTAAGTTGGGCCAGCTGAATAGTAAAGCCCGTGGACAAAAAATTAGAAATAAGGAGCCCTTTGGCCTGAGCCATGCATGTGCAGGTGGTTATGTCAAATACTCTTTGTCCAGCTATTTACTCTGGTTGTATTACTTTGTCAGTTCAGAAATGAATCTATGAAATCTTAAAAGAATGGAAGTACAGAGCTGAATCGTGAAAAGCCACCCAGTTGTAAGCATGCATAATTTGTAATAAATGCATGGGTTTTGCTAGGAATGGTGGCAAATGATAACAAACAAAAGAAAAAAATGCACTGACATTTTAAAAAAAGATATATGCATTAATGTTAAAGTTTATCTAATCAATGGTCAGCGGAAGAAAACAGGTCGTCAAAAAGGTCACTAAAAGCAAATATATGTATAGATTAATGTTAAACTTTGGTCAAGTGTCGAGGAGGGGCATCATTTAGTAGAGAGAGTTAAATAAGGTCATTATTTGCAAAGCACTCGTCATCTGAACCTTTTTTTGTTCCAGAAAAGAACTGCAAAACCCGATTGAAGGCTTCAATACAACAAAAGCAGGGACCCAAAATTGTGGAATTCATCTAATTTTGCTGTACAAAAAGAGCTGACTGATTCTAGAATAGCACCGGACAAATGAGCTCAAATAATGCTGCAACAACAATTTTCAATTTTATCAACAATATCTTCAAGTGTTGCCAAATAGCTAACTATTTACGTTAACGGTGAAAATTAGTATTAATTGTAACATGTCATGTATGATAAAAAAAAAAAAATCAATTTCTTAACCAATTTCATATACATAACAAAAAAAATCATTTTTATGTAAATTACGAAGTTGCTCTATATCACTAAACACCACAAACGAAATCTAACAAACTACGCTATGCAAATCTAAAGCAATGATCTCTCCCGATAATTCATTTAGAGATTGTATTTTGACAAATAGTATAGATTTATCAAAAATATATATATGTATATATATATAAGATAATCACTTATATATGGCATTCTCTGAAATCAAGTCATAAGTTTTGTGAAAGATGAACATCATCTATGAGATTGCCTTATAACGAACATCAATTTAAGAGCTTTATATGACTAAATGAGGCCAACACTCAAATCAAATGGATATAAGTATGTTATACTATTATAGATGAGTATAATTCAGTTTCAATATCTTTATTATAATACAAAAATCCTAAATTTAGAACAAAGCACCTATGCAATTCATGTGGATACAAATGTTAGGATGTGAATCTCAAAAGCTTGATGCAATTATTATATGAAGCTAACACTGAAAAAAAATTATCATCAATATATAAAAAGAAAGACAATAGTATAATAAAAAAATTTCATTTCATCCAAACAATAATGCTAGAGAATAGGAAAAAAAAAATTTATAGCTTGTAACCAAACCAAATGATAGACCAAAACCAAAATAGATTCCTATAAGATTCTAAAAAAAGTCATAGAAAAACAATTATCCGAAAGAAAAATATACTCGAAGCTCCACCTTTTTATGCATATAAGAACACATTTTTAACAAAAAATAAGCAAAAACATCTATGAAAACAAAGTGTTTAGTTCGTAAAAAATAAGCAAAATATTTACCTTCCCGATGTTTCAAGGAATAAAATTTATGTGACTAATAGTTCAAAAAAACCGATTAAAAGAAAACAATACCCAACTTTTTTTTACCCTCGAAAAACCAACATATTTTAAGTAAAGATTTACATAAGGATGGCAATCCAACCCGCTTCAACGCCGACCCACCCCAAATCCGTGAAATTTTGCCCCGAACGGGAAACGAAGCGAGGATGAGTTTTTTTTTTTTTTTTGATGATGAGGGTGGGGCAAGGATGGGGGAGGTGGGGATGGCATCCCCTATTCCTCGCCCCGCCCCATTTGGGGCTGGGATGGGAAGCGAAATTTCGCTTCAAACGGGGCACGTGGCGGGGATGAGGTTTCTTTTTTTAGGGACATGGCAGGGATGGGATGGCGATTCTCACCCCGTCCCGCCCCATTGCCATCCCTAGATTTACATATACACAAATTTTAACTATGGACATGTCCATAACAAAAGCATCCAAAACTTCAAAAATGATCATAGCCGGGTAGTGTTCCAAATAAAACTTCATTAAAAGTTTTATTATGCGGAACAACATGTGGCATACGGTTGATTAAATAAGTTACAGTCAAAATACACCCACCTCGAAAAGTAACCGATAGGTTGGCCTAAAAGTATAAGACTTTAACTACTTTAAAAAATTGTATGTGCTTCCATTCAACCACACAATTCTGTTGAGATGTATTTGTGCAACTAGTTTATCCGTCCACTCCATGCTCAAAGTAATAATTAATCAAATCCAAGTGGTTAAACTCAAGCTCGTTATTAGTGTGAAAAATCTTGATTTTTGCATAAACTATGCTTGAATCCAATTGAAAAATCGCAAAAGATAACACCTAGTTTTTGACTTATGCTTCATGAGAAAAATCTATATGGCCCAACTATGATCATCAACAATTGTGAAGAAATAATGTGATTGTGAATCAAATAGAGTGCAATAAAACCCCCAAATATCACAATATATTAAATCAAAATTATGCTTGGATTTATTTATGCAATTTAGAAAGGATAACCCAGTTTGCTTTGCCCTATAACAAGTATCACAAAAAAAAAATTATTTGAAGAGTTGATTATTACTGATAAATTTAGAAGAAATGAAACTATACTCATTGGTAGATGCTTAAGATGACGGTGCCATAAATCAGGCATTGTGTCCCTTTGCCAGAAGTAACTTTTCTATCTCTGTTGGTTTCAAATGATATAAACCATTCCACACTCTATCCATTCTAATAAGCTTCGTCAAAGGCAAGTACTGTATCACACAAAAATTAAATTAAAAAATTAGAATACAGTTGAGATCTCGAGTTAATTTACTAACTGAAGGTAAATGAAAACAAAATCGGCCCAAGAATTTAACAAGGATACATTTACCATTAGAAATTTGAATTGGGAAAATAACAAGATTCAGGTGGATACTAGCAATATAATGTATGACCCTAGTATCAGTAATCACGATTCTGGCTTAGCAGGAAAACTTTGGAAGGCAATAGTGCAGATGGGCCTGATGAGGATGCTGGCTGAGGGTCTAAGAGATGGAGCAGCTGCTAGACTTGGGCTGCTGTCAGGTGCAAAGACTGGACAGATTAGGCTGCTACCACGAAATGGGCTTCCAACAACTAGGACTGGGCCAGGCGAACAGAATACGCAGAACTCAGGGACAGTATAGAATGGACCGAAACAAAGGATAGAACTGCGCCAGTTGTGGATTGATGAGTGCCAAATGTATTTGCCGCCTCTGATATATCACGTCCCATAAAATTGACTGCTACACTTGATGTCCCCACTACCAAGAGAATTGTCAACCTTTATGCGATGGTGTTGCTCCCTCGTGGCTGTGGTTTTCTCTAGCCAAGTGGATAGCCATTAGAAGTGTAATAGGTTTCTCGTGTATGGTTTGCTCTGTTACAGTTGCTAAAATGGAGGTCGCCACTTTGCCGCTCTATTCTTTGTCCATGGGTTGGCTGTGATTTGGCTAGTAAAGTCGTGGCATCAAGAATGGGAGCACGGGCTGAAGTAATGTTTCTTTGTTTCTCATCTAGAGCAGCTAAGGCACAAGCTTTTCCAAGCCCCGGTAGAGACTCAACACTCGAAATTTTAAGATGGAACGATCATGTAAGCATCATCTAGGCCCATTAAAAAGTCAAAAGCTTTTTCTTCCTCTCGCACCTCCTCCATTTTTTTGCAGCTCCGAATGTACAAATAAGAACGGGTTGAAGATTCTTTAACTCACTCCACATATTCTTTAAATTTTCATAAAATATGGAAAGCGTAGACTTTTCTTGTTGCAGGAAGGCAATTGTGCATTTCAATTCATATACTCGGGATGCCATTCCCCGAATAAATCACTCCTCAAAGGCGTTTCAAATTTCATATGTATTGGTAGCATGAGTTGCCGTTGATTGTAACTCTTTGATAACCGAGTTAATGAGTCACGATTTAACAAATGTATTGTACCGAATCCAAGTTTGAAAATCTCTGGAATTGATATCGGATTTAGGTATTGATCCATTATAAATCCTGCTTTATTTTTGGATTGTAGGGCATTGAGAAAATTACATTGCCAAGTGAAACAGTTTTCTCAACTTCCACTGAATGGTTACATGATAAAAGGTAAACCTAGATAATCTGAAGGATGCAAGTAGAATAAAGATTTGATATAAATTGTGATAGTTTGTGTATTCGTAATATATACCAAACTCTTTTCATTACGACTTGCTAAATTAGTTGTTACAAAGAAAAAAATCATAGACTTTACTCTGATATCATGAAAACGTGAATTATTTCACTGTATATTGCTTTACATAGAAAAAAGGAACATATATACAGATTACATCCCTAAACATTAGAGTTAATAATTCTATGAATATGCTAGCTTCCTCAATATTCTACCATTAAAAGAAAATATAGTATTTCCTAAATTATATATATTCATGTACATAATTCAAAAACATATGGCTGTAAAAATGGTTCCAAAAGGCACAAAATACTTTGTCAATTAACTCATGGGAATATATATATATATATATTGGCACAAAGCCCTACGTTATCTTTAGGAATCTAGCCCAGAGCATCTTCTTAATTTTTATCTTCCAATCATTGGCAAGTAAACAATACCAAGATTTATAAGGTGCAAATTAATGAACAAAAATATTTAAGAATTTTAATCAGCTATATCAATTAAACAATACTCAAGATGCAACACTGTTGACATTTGGGCTAGAGTTTAGTGTCAATACTACAAAAGTACGAATGTACGATGTCTTTTTTGTATCATTGCATCACATTTCTTTGTTGTTGTGTGCATCCTTTGGATGATTTGGTACCTATTTTTTGTATCTTTCTCTCTGATCCCCTATGGGATCCATTTTTCTGTGTTTGTGTTTGCTGCTGATGATTCTAGCTTCATTTGCAGGTGAAGTAAGAAAAGGAAACAGCTGATAAGACTGCAAGAAATTAGTACATAACACTCCACATGGACAATTTGCACATTAAGTTATTAATTCCAATAGGCAAATTTTATAACTAGTAAGACTTATTAGTTTGACACAAGTGGCAAAGTAAATCATGCTTATAGTTGGGAATGTGTCATTGGAAGATTGTGATCTGTTGACATGATCATGATTTGAGAGCACAAGCTTGTCCCCACGCTTATGGCCAAGGATCTCAGCTGCTCCATCGGCAATAACCTGGAAAACATTCTTAGCCATGCTGCTCAAATGTGCTATATTATTGCAGTTTTTATTTCCTTGCAGCAATAATGCCATTTTTGGGGCATGTAAAAGGATCATGATGGACCTTTATAAAGACTTTAGAGGCTGTTTGTTCTATTCATAGGTGGATTGAATTTAGAGTTTTGTGATGCATTATTGTAAAAGGGGTTGCCTAATCCTATCTTAATTTAGTGAAAGGTCCAAGAACTAGTATCACTTGAAAAGTTTTTCTTTTATTTATTTATTTTTTCAGAGTGATGGACATTATATTTTTGTGTAATTCTCATGACTATTTAGGGATCTAATTGCATAAATTTTAAAAATTTAAAACTAAAATATTTTTTTTGAAAACTTTGAAGACAAAAAAACGCATAAATAAAAGATCATAATATAAAAAAATTAATTATAAGGTCCAAAATAACTTGTTTTGAAAATATAAAAACTAAAATGAAATATTTTTAAATATTTTTACTGGTTACACAGAGCCCTTCCCCTTCCAGAGTCTCTCGCTCTCAGCCCCCTTCCGCAGAATGGCAAGGCACGCCTCTTCCCTTCCCTTTGCCCCTTCGTACCGCCGCTCCTTCTGATCTGTTTTGGTCCTTCGGTGTTTGTCTTTCAACCTGTCACGCTCGCCTCTTTCCGTTCTCACTCTCTCTCCCAGTCTCACAGTCTCACTTTCTGCCAAAACTCAAAACAACCACCGGCCACCTTCGAAGCCACCAGCCACCACCGACCAGGAGAACACCGCCCACCGGCAGCTTCTTTCATCTCCACTAAAGGTAAGATTTGAAATTTGAAATCAAAATTAAATTTGATGCGGGTTTAATCTTTGAATGTACGAAATTGGCTGAAGAGAATTTGAAATTTGAACTATCCATATTCTTAGACGGTATAAGCTATTATGAATCTATGATTGTCGCCTTGATAACATGTCGTTTGGAAGGCAAAAGCAATGCATTGATCTTGCCAGCAAAGAAAAGTAATAAAAGGAAAGGCATGAATCAGGTATATAGCGCAAGTTGACAAGCTATTTTGTTCTGCTACGCCCTTTCATGTAAGAGGCTGGATGCCTTCAAATTTTGTAGTAAAGGATCGTGAAGTTTTCAAGAAAAATAAAAACCCACAATTAAGTAAATCCCAGAAAAGAAAGTTGAAGAAGTTGGAGGTGTGTACTTGCATTTGGTTTCTACTGTTCAGTATTGTGTTCTTTGTCGGAGTTGATTTACCTTTTCGTTCGTGCAGGAAGAGAAAGAGAGAGCACTGTTATTATCGAAGAGCATAGAGACCCTGGAGTATGTAACTACCTTTTAATTTTTGGATGATTTTTTTTTTTTTTGTCTCTCCAGAATGCATTGACAATGTTTGCAAACGACTCCATAATCTTCTATATCTTGAGTGCTCTTGATGCGCAGGTGATTGGTTACTTTTGCAAGTGAAGGACCATCTTGCGATTTCTTTTTTTAAATTTCAATTTTATCCTCTGCACCGCTAAAGCTTCCGATGCTGGGTATCTTGATCTTATTCTCGTAATTGCAGATGTCATGAGATTGTTTTTATTTGACAAGGCTTCTAAATCATCATTCTGCTGCATATTTATATGGAAATTTTAGCCCATGGTTTTTATATCGAAGTTGGGCCACTGGAAGTTAAAATGTCATTGCTGGTAGTTTCTTTAAAACTTGACGAAAATCGAACTCACGAGGTGATTGTTCATAAGTTCGGTCAGAATATTAGTAGTATGAACTAGAAGCTTCATCATGCCTGTGCCCTTTTTATTCGCTTTTCTTCATTCTCATTCAAGCAGGATTAGTAGTAGCTAGTAGTTATGTTCTAGAGATTTCACCTTTAAAAATAAGGAGCATGTGCATTAAACTTATCAAGAAACATACCATCCGCAGAAACGTTTTAACGCTTGAAGCTATAATAGATTTGGGGACACTGCGACAGGAGAAATCCTTGCAAGTCAAAAACACTTTACGTTTGGTTTATTGGGTTTGTTTTGATATTACCATCTCATAATCGATTTCAACTCGTGTTATTTTCTCAATTCGATTAATTTAAAAAAATTCTCAATTTGGATGTGATAGTTTGTTTAAGACTTGACAAAAAATGATTGTTCAAGTTAAAAAAAGAAAAACACACTAGCTAGAATTCACATGTCATTACGGGAAAGAAAAGGACACAAAAGAAAAATCCATATTTTCGTATACTTAGCTGAGCTATTGAAAAAAATCTTATTCAAACAGCAAATTAAATTTGTTAGGAATCCAATAATACACAAACCCATATACACAGTACTAAAAAAGTACTGTAGAACATAATCTGCCACGTGACACAAACATCTAAAAGGCAGACAGACACACACACACCCCATTCCTTTCAATCTCACGCGGTAAAAACGTGAAAATGCTGTCACGCCAACCCAAAATATTCCCTCTCATTGTCCAATCTTAATTTCATAGAATATTAATATTAATCTACTAATAATCTAAACATAAAAACGAGAGCCCCTGATTATAAAACAAACGACCCGAAAACCCGAAAACAAAGATGAGATGCCCAAAAACAAAAACCCGGCAAAACCCAAGACAATCGCAATATCCGATTGCACACAGAACGCATTATTATCCGTACACGTGTCCTTCAGTGTCCTCGCCAGTTCCGTACCAGCCGAGTTCGCTGACAATAACATGTACGCAAACACCTGGACCACAAACAGACCATAAAACTCTCTCACTCACTTCAAAGACAATTAAATATACGCATGCATATACGGAGGGAGGGATACGAATACGTATTATACCTGGTCATGGCCGAAATCGAACCAAACTTGGCAGATTTCAGGGAAGAGAGTGGCGTTTCTTGAAATTTCCCAAACGGCGGCAGCCATTTCGAATAGAGAGTATATGGCGACGATCGCATTCGCAGCGAAAACATATCTGTCGACAGTTTCGAAGTGATTTTAGGAAAGATTTCTTATTTATTTATTTATTTATAAAATTAACATTATTATTTTCAATACATGTAAAAACTGTCTGAGTAGCTGGGTCAATGGTCAAATAAAAATCTCAAACAATTTTGGACTTTATAAACAAATTTCAGAAAAATCAAAAAGCGGGAATTTATGATTTAAAACTGAAAAACCCACTTAAGACCATGATTTTGAAATTTGAAGAAATATCCTTTTGATTGCTTACATATTTTCTTTCTCTCGCGAACCAAACAGGAATTCCCACAAAGAAAAGAACTTTTAAAAAAGTAACTAAAGAAAGAGTGGATTTTGTGATACATATGCACATACCTGAAAGCGTCAAAATTATACCAATGAAGGGAATTGGATCCTCTAGAGTTAGTAAGCATGAAAACAGCTGAGGCAAGAGAGAAACAAAAGGCAGCGAATCGAAAAACAAGAATGAGCGAGTTGAATCGTTTCAGCTTCTGTACGGAGACAGTGGAGTGGAAGTGTTGTTGGCTGTCACCGTTGTTACGGTGGGGCTGTGGAGACCGCATGATTCTTGATGGTGCTGCTGGTAATTAATTATTTTGGGGTTAAAGAAAGGGAGGAAGAGGAGAAGTCATGAGAGAGAAAAAGAGTGAAAAGGGTTGTTGTTAGGGATTGATTGTAAGGGAGATTGGAGGTTGAGATTGAGAGAAGGAGAGTTGTCGAAGTCACGAGACATGACATGGGGTTTCAATGTTTCATGGGATTTTTGAGAGAAAGAGGAAGGAAAGGCTTAAAAGAGAGTAAGAGGAAATCAATGTGAAGGGAAGTGAGAAAAATGGAGTTATGGTGTGGGGTTATAGATAAAGGAGTGATTAGAAATACGAACTGTTAGAAAGGACAATATATGTGGATCGAATGATGAGAATTGAGAACAGTAGAGAATGTGTCAGTGAGGTTTTGAGGATAGATTAGTGAGAGTTTTTGTTTGTTAATTTGATTCAGACCGGAGAGAGATGAGAATAAACAAAACAGCAGAGCAGCCAGACAAGAAGCAGGAAGAGTGGGGCTTAATAAGAGTTTGCTTTAACACTCTTTTTTCTTCTTTTCTACAAACATCTTTTCGGTTTCAAAATTCTCGTTCCTTTTTTATGGGTTTTCTTTGCTTTTTATCTTTTGCTGACTGATTAACATTATAATGATTCCACGCTCTTTAATGAAGCGTGAGCATCAAAGCACTGCCTCCTTTTCCCATCTGACAACATTTTAGTTCTACAAATTCACATATTTATTGAGATTGACTTTTTTTATTTATTTTTTTATGAATTGACATTGGCTTGGGACAGGTCAGTTAGATATTCTTGGATTAGCTTATTCTTTCTGCTGTATTTTTTCATTATTTTGTGTTATTTGCTCACGTAATAATGGAAACTCACCATTAATTACACAGGTTTTTCAAGCGACAGTGAGTAATAGATGTGAATATTTGGTAAATTCAATCAGTTTAAAGCTCCATAGTTACAACAATTTTGAGAAATTTCAAAGTCTTCTGTACGATGGAGTTTGAGAATGAGAACAATTGCAGTGACTATGAATTTAATTGCAAATATGTCTGTGCGTGTGCGTTTTGAGAGTTGAGAGTTGAGAGTTGAGAGTCGCTGACCTGCTTTGCTTCCGGAAGTTTGACGAAGTTGGTAGCTGACCAATTGATTTTGTCTTTTGCATGACTTAGATAGCTTTGCATGGCAAAGAATTTATTGATTCTTTGTTAGTTGTGGAGACATGATAGGCGTGCGTAGTGTTTCGTGGAATGATTTTTCGATGGCTTGGTGTGAATAATGCAAAAATAAAACATGAAGCTAATCTGCATTCGCACTAGTTATTTGGAGATTAGCAAATTAAAACACGTATGGAAGTTATAAGTCATTTGATAAATAATGCACATTGAAAATCTAAAATGTTGATGAAATCTGGAGAACGAATTTCTTTTAACACTAAGAGCCTGTTTGGCCAGGGTTTTTTTTTTTTTTTTTTAGCATTCAAGTAACTAAAAGCACTTAAAAGGGTTTGGTAAGTATTTTGAATGCATCATTGCTTTAACTTCTAGAAATAAAAGGTAATTCTGCTTAAAAGACGGTATTAGCTTCTATTTTAAAAGGCACGAGAAGCGATTTTTTTGGGTGGATGGTTGCTTATTTCAATTTAAAAACAAACTGAAATATTTTAAAATTACTAAAATACCTGCTAAACATTTTATCTTATATATACGCTGTTTTCACATGTTTATTGTGGTCTTCTCTAAAATAAATTGCATTGAGCTTGAATGGATGATAAGTGAATTATGTGGTAGTTTTACTTATTAAAAAAAATATATGTATTTTTTTTATTCTTGTTATTTGTTTTTTTTTTTCCTTTTCTTTTACTTATATTGTTTTATGATAGTTGTGTTTGCCAATGAAAGTTTTAATATTCATTTCTCAATCAATTTATTTTAATTTATTAATGAAAATATTGAATTCAACTGACCTCTTTCCTTGTAATTTTTAATTCAAATGGCGCAGTGATAAATTATCAAATGCTTAGATGATTTTATTTATAACACAATACAACAGTTCATAATCAAATAATTTAATATATTTAATCTTATATTACAATACAATATAATATAATAGTCACAGAATGTCGTAACACATCTAATACACAACACGGTAATCACAACATGGACCAAACAAATTCTAATTTTTTGTGTTGAACTTGAATAATCAAGAAGCATCGAATTAAAACTTATATACTATTTTATTATCCACAAATTAGTACTGGTCCTCACAAAGTAATAAATTCGGATAAAATGTCTCATAAGATTAAAATTTAAGTCAGATTCAACTAACGTTAACCAGTCTATCAAATTAAGAAAAAAAAAAAAAAGAATAAAACAACTTCTGCTTTCTCTCAATGACCTCTTTCTCCTAACTCTGTGCAAAAACCCTAACAATATATTGCGACTTTAGTGCTTTACTTCAATACCTATTAATTATTTTTTGGTCTTTTCAATCCACTCTTGCTTTTGCTTTTTGGTCTGTAATCATTCAAAAATCACGGAGGAAAGAAAATTGATGAAGAGTTTGGTTTCTTAAATACAAAATTATATGCTGTGAAAACAAGACCAATTAATTCATATAAATTTAATGGCATTAGCATGGATGGTTTAAGCATAAAAGGCACCTTCTTGTGCGGATTGGTTTTTTCAGTTAATGTGGATATAGAGAAAGAAGAAGGAAGGATTTGCTTAATAAGAGCGCAAGAGAGACCCAAAAGGCACACCGAATACTAAAATTAAGACATTAAAGTTGTGCAGGAGTGCCAAAATTTAGGGTTCTCCGAAGAGGTACGGGAAAGGGTTCACGGAGAGATTAAAAAAAACTAAAGCGGGCAGCAATTCTTCTTCTTGTTCTTTTTTTTTTTACTGAGTTTTTAGGTCAAGTTGATTTTTATCTTATGATGCACTTTGTCCAAATAGTAGAGTAGGACTGATGTGACGGTGCTATGTTATTTTAGCAAGGTCAAATTTTGAACTTTTCTCTTAACTTTGGCTGTTAAAGTCATACTTCCAGAGAGAACTTGGAATCCCTCACGCCACCTTCCACATCCGTCTCTTTCTCTATTCCTCTTTGCACACAAGACCATTAACTTCTTCCGTACATTTGGACTGCTAAAAATTCAAGCTAGAAACTTCATTTAGTTCCACTCCTGGCAAGACATTTAATACTTTATTATGCACCTTTTTGGGCTTCTCATGTTTGCATATATCTCCATTATATATATACTGGAACGTTTCCAAACAAAACCAAATCTGTTTTTCCAAAATAAAATACACTTGGCAAAGTCAAGGAACAGAAATTTAAGGTTTTCCAACTATAATTTGCTAAGAACATTTTTGCCAACAACAACTCCAATAGTAATGGACACGAGAGCCGAGAAGGCTCCCTGCCTTGAAAGCCAGAATTCAGTCCACGTCAAAGGCCTTGTAACCTGGACTAATACCTTCTGAAACCGTTCCTCCAGATCTTCTAAGGAGCCAGAGTTATCAATGACAATGTCAGCCTTGGACCTCTTCAAATCAAGGGCCATCTGAGCGTTTATTCTATTTCTGGCATCTTCCTCGCTGGTTTTGTCTCTTGCCATGAGTCGCTCAAGCTGTGTTTCAGCGTCAACCCAAACAACAATGATGGGTTTTGTCCACTTATCCATCCTGGCTTCGAACAACAAAGGGATGTCTAGGACAATTACCTTATACCCCTTCAACCATAACTTCAAAATTTCCCAAAAGATGCCGGAAGATATATAAGGAGCCAAAAGCCTGCAAGAATAAAATACGCAAAGCATAAAAAGGAGTGTAAGATGCAATTTTGTGACATTATTTGATAGAACACTATCACAATCAAGAATCCATTGGCAAATTTAGACACGGGCAATAATGCTTTTTTAGGCATAATATCTCGGATACAAAGAGATAACGAGATTAAACACTAGAGATTTAACCTGGACAAATCAAGTAACAAGTATTAGAATTTCATCGGTATGACTTCACAATTCAAAGGAAACTTCTTTAAGATATATAACAATATGCTTGATTAATGAGAACTGAATTTACTACAACAAGCCAAAATGATGAGTTAAGGACATCACGTAAAACCTTCTTTATAACATAAAATCAGCTCATATTTATTTATCTTCTAATGATTATTTTTTGTCAACAAACAACCAATTAGTAAGTACCAACAAGACTAAGTAAAGAATTCGGTTCCTATTTCACTTGATAAACAAGGGAAAACCGAAGCAAACAGTGCTATTTGAATGCATACTCAAACTATAAAATTGCAACTCAAACCAAAAGAATGAGCATTTCCAAAGAAATTTAACATATTCTTTCACGTACAAGTTGAGCCCATCTAACTTAGAAAATTGACATAAAAATATGAAAAAACTTGAGATTATTTAATTTCCATCATATAGTCCAATTGCTATAAATATAACGTATCAGTTATTCCTCAAACACACCATATGCCATTAACTACACTGTACCTATTGAGAAGCTGGCGCTTCCCAGGATCAGAGAACACAATCTGGCCCAGTTTTGGCCTATCAACTTCCCCATTAGCTTGCAATATGTCTTCTCCAAAGGCTGCAACTGCCCTCTTATATCCACCGGTGCCTTTCTTCAGTACATCCTGCAATCCATTCAATTCATAACCCCAACCAAATCAGCTTCGATCAGGAAAAATTCTTTTAAGTAGCCCTGAGCAATTTTAAAATTTGGCAGTCATGTCCATGAAATTGATGCAATAATCAGATTCCGCCATCCAAAACAAAAATCATTCAGAAAATGACCAAATAATAAGATATATATATAATGCAACCAAAGAAAAAGACAAGAAAGAAAGAAAAAGGGGAATACCCACCCGAGCAACAATATCAGCATCAACGACAGGAATGTCATGGGACTTGAAAAGATTAGAGACAGTACTCTTTCCCGACGAGATTCCACCGGTCAATCCCACTATCCTCATTTTCACTCTCAATCTATTTTCGTATTGTCACAGATCTTTCTTTCCCCTTATGCCAGTGTAGATCGATAGATTTATGTAATTAATTAAGTGACAGTACATGCAAGAATGCAGTTCCACTTCTGCAATCACATAAGCATATTAGATTATTTTCAAGACATAATGTCATTACTTGAAATCAACTCTAACTTTACTTTAACAATTCATTTCAATACATACTCAAAATCACATGCAATTTATTGGTTTCAAATCCATCTGCCTTTGATAATAATGATCATGAAGAAAAATTTTGGAACCTCCAATTATATCTTTATCCTTCTAATTCCAGCCTCATCACTTGACCAGTTACATGGAAGGTAGGGAAATGACAGCACTAAGTGCCCATTAGTCAAGGATTACAAGTTGCAGGGTTCAAATCAATAGCAAAAACAACAAAAGTGCAGGGCTAGGAGATCAAAGTTCAACCAAAGAGATTAAATGGATAAGAAGCACATCAGACAGTATATTAATGACACTGAGATGCAACAGTCAATTTTACATTTCTTATATGTTTGTGAAAGAACAAACTCAAGTTTTAAGGAGTTCCAACAAGGCATTTCAATGCAGTGAGGCAATGAAGGCATCTAGTATAGGTAAACAGTAAGCAAAGTTGTACATACTCCAGGTAACTGGTCTATCATGTAGGATATTTAGTTATCAACTAATAGAACTGCAACTTGCAGGTTGGATCATGTTGGAGGCCAACGTGATCCCAGCTTTTTAAGTTGAGCTTGTTGCATGAAGCCAAACCAGCCATATAATAAGGTTGGTTAACATAATATCTAGAATGCATATGCAGTACAACACGAATGTGCTGACAAAATGAGCCAGATATGGATTTCCGATCCCAATTCTGGTTCGGTGCCTAAAATATTCTTAAGTGTGTGTGTACGGACCATGTGGTGATAGGTTAATAGCATCCAAAATCAACATTGGAAAAAAAAATGGACACAGAACAGCATCTAGTTCCCCAGTACTGAACAAAAAAATCATACCACAAACAGACTCCTGATTTTTTTCAGGATTCAGTAAATATCCAAATAGAATTATTGGGAGCAAGTGTTTAACTGCTGCATTCAGTTTAAGCCTAAAAGGGTGCAATCTCACATGTCATTCAACAAAAACCAACTCAGCATCTTCAATTAGTGAACAACTTGCATAAAATTCAACAAAGCACACCCAACAAGCTCAACACTCTCAGACCCAGATTTCAAAACAAGAGAGTGACTCAGATTTCCATAAAACAAACCCCACTTGAGCACAGACACTTAATACAACAAAATTTAGTCTCGTTGTGTTTAATATTAGAAATGTGCATTATTGAAAGTGAAGAAAGACACCCATTAAACTTGCCCCATTTTGAATAAATACAAATCATAGCGTTCCACGAAACAACAGTTCGTGCTAGCATTTATCGAACAGGTAAAGAGCAACGACCAGTTGGCCAATTTAGGCATGTAGAGTTATTGCAATGTTTGTAGAAACTATGTGAGGGTAATGGGTTTTTGGTGTTTGGTAATGGGTCGTTGGTTTCTCTAAGAGCACATTTGCCATTCAGTTTATTCAACATCAAAAGCAAATATCCTAAAAGCAAAAAACAAGTTACAATATCTTTACCAACCGTTAAAATATAAGTGGTTATTTAATCAATTATCCAATAAGGCAACTTCAAAATAAGATCACAAACTCTAACCCCAGAACATGAAAGAAGCTTACTTGAGGAGGATGAGGAGGAGAAGTGGGATGCTTGGAGGGTTTAGCAGAGATGTTTGAGAAAGGCAGTGGTGAGATCAGACACCAAGCCCGAGTTACGGTCGCCGGAGTGAAGGAACCGAGAGACTTGAGCGCGTCAGCGTTTGGCTTCTCGCGGAGGAATTATTAGTAAGGATAGAAAGATCAATTTATGTCATTTGATTTCGATTTATCGTTATATAATATTTAAAATTTCACGTATGTCTTTAGATTTTTAATAAAATTATAATTATTTTTCATCTGTTTTTTCAAAAAATTAAATGTTTAATTTATTTTTTTAGTAATTTTTTTAACAAAATTATTTTTTATTAAAAATTAAAATTACATTACCAATATATTTTATTTTTAAAATCTTTTAATCTTTTATATTTTAATAAAAAAAAATCTATGATAAAAAAATAATACAGATGACAAATTGAATATTTTAAATTCAAAAACATATAAAATGTAATTAAAAATTTAAAAACAAATAAAAAAACTTTGAATATTATAAAAAAATATATTAATTTATTTATTTTATTAATAATATTGCATTTCTAACTTGCATCAAAACACGAGATATGAAATTTTAATTGTTTTAGTGAGAATACTACAACTCTCGAGAAATTTTGTTGTGTTCAATTATTAATACTTACTTAATAGACATAAAAATTAAAAAAGGTGAGAATAAGTGAAAATATTTTATTATTTTTAATATGGATGTGGATGTAATTTTTTTACTATCTTTTTCTTTAAAAATGAATTTATAAAATAATTATTAATAATTATTGTTGTAATATTTCAAAATTTATCGTACAACCCTTTGTACTTAATAATTTCTACTTTTGTCTATCCATATTTAATAGAAAGGAGGATAATTTTTATTGTTTACTTTATAAATTCATCGATATTCTACTTCCACCCTTGTATTTTAAACCTTTTTAATGTAAACTTTTTAGTATCAGAAAGTTTTAATATCATCTCTAACCAATAGATAACCTGCATTCTGATGAAGTTGGTTTGAGTTTTTCTTACGTCTTTAAGTGTTTTTTAAAGATATCACAACATATGTAGAGATTTGAAAGTCAAAAATGAAAATAAAATAGAAAAAAATCAATTTTTGTTGATTATTTAATAGTAAAAAGCAAAATTGACTTTTTGAAAAATACAGAGCTAACTTTGAAAATTTTGAAATTATAAGAATGGAAGTGCAATATTTACGATTTTATAAGGTAAAAATATTCTTTACCAAAGCAAAAAAGAAAAAAACTGCTATAGTTTTAAACCAAAAAAAAAAAAAAAAACCACCGTCATCAGAGAACCAGATATGAACGAAGATGTTGAACTCAAAAGTGGTTTCGCTTCCATGCTTGCTTTGGTTGTTTGAAGGAATTATAATTAGGGGCCTTTAAATTTACCAGATAATAAAATAAGATTTATGTTATATTGAGCACGAGGATTTATTAAGTAGTATAACAGTCACGCGCTTTAAAATCGAGTAGGATTGACAAAAAAAAATCGGGAATGGAGTACTTTTCTGTCTCTTCCTTTTCTTCTTCGAGGACGCTGCTCCTTTCATAAGTTTTCCTTCGGCAGGAACCCAGAAGAAGCCGAATAAAGTTTTGTTTCCTTTATATAGGTCCTATATAAAGTTTTGATTCTTACAGATGAAAATGACTTCACAAAGCATTGAAAAGGATAGAAAATAACTTCAACCCTCCATAAGAAGGCCATACTGCTGCTCCCAAAAGGTTTAACCTCTCGAATAATCCTATGTTTTGTTACGAGTTAAGAGAGTCATTAAACATGAGAAACTATGAATATACTCTTTTCGTACATAAATATAATAGAGAATTCAATGGCATGAGAGTACCGAGTAACTCCTCGTCGAGAGAAATTTTTGAAGTTTCGACCTTCGGTTATAATAAAAGGATAATTGTATCGATAGAGATGTAAAAGCTTATCCGTTTCCACCGTCTTTTCGGAGGTCCTCTAATCTTTACATTTGCCTCCATTTTCATCGAAATTTTTTCTCATCTCTCTATATTTGCTTCCATCAGAGGTAAACCTAGAGGTTCACACGTTTTTGTTCATGACCAATTTTCATTAAAAAACAAAAAATACATCATCCATTAAAAATAAAATATCTTACACATATCTAACAAAATTAATCAATGTAGTATTTTTCAAAAACAAAATTAAAATTTAATATTTTTTAAGATAAACTCATTTATTTGTCTTTATTTAATACTTAAAATCTCTTACATGTTTTTTAATATCTAATTGCATCTCATTTATTATTGAAAATATTTAAAATATTAAATATATGTTCTTCCAATTAATTTGTCAAATTTAATTTCTTAACGAAATACATTAGATTGAAATGAAAAAAAAAATCTAAAAATTTCTAAAATGAAACATGTAAGTTTGTTAGTTTTTTTCATATTTTAGTTTAAAAAAAATTAAAAGAATTTGATAAAAAAAAAAACAAAATGAACATTTTTAAAAATTTTACAAATAGATAAAATACAATTGAATATCTGATAACAAATGAAATTTTTTTAATATTATATAAAAACAAATAGATATATTTATTTATTTATTTATTATTATTATTATTTGGAAGAAAACTACATAAATCATTTTAGATTTTTTTTTTAAAAAATAAATATAAGATTCAGGTATAGAGATCCATCAGTTCAAAAAATTAATTATTTTCTTCTAAAATCGCTCTTTGATCTAAGCCTTTTTACTAATCAGTCCAAGTAAAGCCCCTAGCCAGACAGCATAATTTTTTGAAAAGCGACTCTTAGTGACGTGACATAAAAACTCTTTTTTTTTTTTTTTTAGCTTATTGAAATTTGATAAACCTAATTAAAACGGAACTAAAAGATAAATACGGTAAATGAAGCCAAATCTACTGACGTATTCTTTTTTGTTCCAAATAGGAAGAGGTGGGCGGAGACTGGAGAGGGCGAGCAAGTGCTCTCGCCGAAGGCAACTGTCACCACCAAGACGTATACCTCATAATACCTAGCGGTTGAAGAAAACAGAAAAGAAAGGCACAATGGTAATTGACTTCAACATCACGAAAATCAAACCAAGTAAAGATATAAAGAAACAGAACTGGTTCATGCAAGTTCCAGAACCGAAAGATGAATATCTAAGACTGATAATTGCCACTCAAAACAGGTGCACAAAGAAGAGTTAATAAGGTTATAATGGATTGCGAACAAAAGGTGAATAGAATTCTACAAGGTTCATTGCTGCCTCTCTTGACTACACAGATAGAAGCACTGCAGCTATGTTGGGTCACATCATTTCTTGCGACCTTCTCACGCATCGGCTTACTTTCTTCTTGAACTCATCCCTATTCTCTCTCCATTGTTTCTAAAGTTGTTCAATAAAGAAAATGTTAAAATGTTGCAAAGCATTGAATACAAGTACTAGAAAAAAAAAAACTGATTGCACAATCCTTGTCATGTTCAAGCTTAAAAATTTCTCGAGAAAAAGGAATTAAACAAATAATGGTCATAAGTTCATGACAAAATGACTGATTATACACCTACCGCAGCATCAACATTTGCAGGAGACTCGTCGTTAGGACTAGAAAGCATTGATATGATGCTCAAAACAATGCTTTCAACCTGCAAAAAACAGGACGGTCAACAAGGAAAGTTATGGGAAAAAAGGAGAGAGAGGAAGAAAAACTCCCAACCAAAATAAGGCACAACAGCATGTAAAATATTTACAGCCTAATTGGCCTCTATCATACTGTGTTGTGCAGCAATCAGCATTGAGTTATGAGGTGAAACATATGGAGCTATTTGGTAATCAACACGACATAATTCCATGCTGTGCTTCTTGTTCTTCGCAACTGGAATGCCTCAGCTGACTTTCCTTTTCCAAGTGAAATATGTCAATCTTTTCAACAAGAGTTCTCTAAAGTTTAATAGTCATATTGTCTATTGATAAAGCCAAAAACAATCTCCTCACTCCATGCTGCTCAAGTTTAAATCTTTCATCATGTTATTACTGACACAATCACCTTTGCTGACTTCTCTCTACAGTGAAGAATGGAGAAAGTAAACTTGGAGTTGCAAAAAAAAAAAAAAAAAAAAAACCATCAAACACAAGACCTTTTAAACTCGAAACTATAATTATTTATCTTTCCCAAATCGATCACTCTAGTGTCCCTTGTTCCATAGGCTAAACAATATTAATCCCAGCCTAAGTGACCTCTTGTAACTAAAATTGTCCCAAGGCCAAGAAAAAGCACATAATCTAGGCTAGTAATTGAGCCCCATATAGCCGAGCTGCTTTTAAGTCTTGCAGTGATCTCAAGTTTCGGTTCTTCAAAGATGCTGATCAATGAGATGCATCACAAATCCACACCACCATCACACGGTCATGCCACAAAGTGGATTAAAATCATGCATAAATGCAAAGAGCTGCCATTTATATATCTGTGCCTCCTCAGACATCCATCCGTATCCAAGACAAACTGGTAATTCAGAACAGCAAGTTACAAACTGCTTGTCCAGACAATTTGCAGCCTTCCAGGGAATTGAAAACATCATATCTCACAATATCATGAGGATAAAAAGGCCCTATCCTCTCCAACTCTTAGTGTGTACATCCAATACGAACGAAGGAAAAAAGCAATCATGAACTGAACTTCCACTCTATAGTAATAGGATAATAAAAAAGGTACAAAAAAAACAAGCATTGTATTTATAAAACTGCAAGGAATATAATGATGCAGAAATATAAACTGTTAAAGAATCACATACTGTATGAACTGGACTCCAGCGCTCAGTTGCAAGCTCATAGCCATTTGGGTCATCACCAGGTGGATGAAGAATTGATATGCAAACTTTTCCATCAGCATAAACTGTAATACAAAGCAACACTTTAGTAGTTTTCCATTTCAATATGCATGGCCACAGGAAAGTGCACACAAACAAAAATATAAAAAAGAAAGCAAAAGCACATACCATTCGGATGCCACACCTCTGAGGTAAACCTGACAGTTGGAGGACTGACTGGATAATTCGGTGGAAAGCTCATGATGGCATTGAAGAACCCCCTTCACTATGACAAGAGGATAGGTTTTTTAATAAACAACATAATGTCACCTCTATTGTCCACAAATAATGCATTAAGTTTGAATGCTACTAAAAGCTTTAGATATAATTCTCAAAAACAAAATAAAACTAAATCAACCAAGCCTTAGTTCCAAATTAGTTGGGTATATGCAATTGTATCAGCCCTATCAAGTTACCAGAAAGCACTGGAATGAAACAATGCAGAAGACTCGAAATCAATTAAAAAATGAAAGCATTCATAACTTAATTATGTTCAGCTAATAATGCAATTGAAGAAAGAAAATCTAATGGGCCCAGCAACAGCATATTACCAACCAGCTAACAAAACGCTAAAGCCATACCAACACCTTTCAGTAAACTTTATAAATAAAAATAAAATCCAAAAATAATTACTGAAAATCAGATAACATAAAATATCCAGACATAAAAGGTACCTCTCCTAGCATCATCAAAAACAGAACCCTTAAACCAAATTCAAACGCAAAAGACAACACAAAATTCAAAAAACCTAATGCTAAAATAAATAAATAAATGAAATTGAGTTGCCCTAAAATTTCTAAGAAAAGAAAAGAAAATCCAAAGTTATTGAATTGATGAATACTCACTATAAGGTATCAGGGGGTCCTATAATTGTAACGCTCCATTCAAACACGTTGGTTTCATCAATCAAACCAGCAGAGAATCCATCAACTGGGTTCTTGCATAGATCTACAAAATCAATCAACAAAAAATAAATCAACCATTAAAGATTTAAACTTTCTATATAAAAACAATACAAAACATAAAAAAAAACCCAATCAGATAAAAAAAACAAATTGATGTTGGGTTATTAACCTCTCAGCTGTTTTTGAAGGAGAAGACTTGCTTGAGAAGCGGCCATTTATCCTTTATTTGATTTGAGCTATGGAGAGAGAAAGAGAGGAAGAGAGAGAGAGAGAGAGGCCGCAACAGAAGGGAGGGAAAAAAGATAATTAGGGGGTATATGTAAGATAAAGTAAAATACATACAAACAGTAAAGCGTAAGCCTTTTTCGTTTTGGAATTTGGGTTTGGGGTTTTATTTATTTATAGAGGAGAGGGTAGAGATGAGCAAAAAGATTTTGACTTCTATTTTGAATTGCGATCTATTAAGTAATACAAGTTGGATTTTTACCTGTTTCGAATTGATTTTTTTTTTTTAAATGACGGAATTAGGAACATTCTAGATAATCTGCTTAGTGTTTGTATTTCCCTTTGTCTCTGTATTTATTAGCACGCTCCTTTATAATCGTAGATTTAATGAGCAATCAAATTAATATAAGCACATGCACAGCAATGAATTGCCATCGTTGATTTATGCAAATTGAGGTGATTATTTTGAGTTTTCATTATTCATTAATTAATAGGGTTTTTTTTTTTTTTTTTTTTTTGGGTGGGGGTGTAAGAAACGAGGCCAAAGTCCCTAAAAACACAAATCTTTCCCGTTAAGTCATTCAAAAGAAACTTGACACGAAGGAGGAGACTGAATCCAAGACACATTAAAATTTACGATCTAAACTAAGGCTGTAATCACAACATATGTTACCTTCTCGAAGACATGCTGAGTGTCTACTATCCATTCTCAGAATTGCATAACCTGAGAATGTAGAGATCAGAAAACAATAGAATTACACGATCATGATCCTGATTTATCATTTAAGCTTCTCTGCAATGATCTTAGAATCTTGTTCTACCATCAGGCATTGAACACCTCTCTCCCACATGTATTCCTAGCCTTCCAACACAGCCCATTATCATAAATATAATGATGTCCTTTGTCGTGACTCATGAAGGATTCTGTTTGTCCAATCGCATTTGGATTCCAAAATAACAGTAGAACTGTCCCTGAGAAAAATCTGGGAAAATACTAAAAAAGGTGCAATGAGATTTAAGGATGGAAGAGCATTTAGTATTCTTATTATGTAACTCAACACCATCAAGCCTGGCGTTGAAAAAAATAAAAACAATTAAATTCATTTTTTTGTCCTTTCTTTTATACATTCATAGCGTGCGTTTATCTTGTAAAGAAATAAGTAAAAAAGAAGTGCATGGCAGAATTATTTTTTTATTTATTCCTCTGTTAACTTCTTTACATTTGTATTTTGCTAGTACTTCTTTTTTAAAAAGCCAATGGAGGTATAAAACAAGGTAGTCCTCTTACTTGCAAATTTTCCAAAAACAACTGGCGAGCAACCACTGAACTCTTAGGTTAATTTCAACCATGTACTACATGCACTTTTGACAATTAACGAGTCAGGTTTGGACCTTTCCGAGCTCTGCATTTTGGAGGAAGAATATAATCCAACTCATGGTTTCAACACAAGTTCCCTTCGGAAAAAGACTTCACAAGGTAAGTACTTTTTTTACAGTCAAAACCTTACTTATTTGTTCCAAAGAATAAAGAGAAAAGAAAGAGAGCCAATCCTTTTGTAGATTCAATGCCGCCTCTGCATAAGTGGACGATAGGCATGCCAGCATGTTACCGTCTTCACTGATTTAGTTTTCAACGTTCAATACATTCAACTGCTAGTGTTAATAATGCTGTATCAACAGGTGAATGATTCAAGACTCGTGCAAGTGCCAATTTCCAAGCCCAGTTGAACAGAGAGTTAAGCAAGCAAACCTAGCTGAACAAAGTTCAACGTAAGTACTTTTTTCTTCATGCCGATACATATATATATATTTTCAGAACTGTTTGGAGGAAAAAATAATTCCTGAGTTACCTCAGCAAGGTTATGGTCATATGCATCATGGCTTTATGTAGTAGAAAGAATCAAAGGAGAATTAATAACTACACTACTATTATACTTGTTTCAACATTAAGAAAACAAAACCACTAAGATATAAAGAAACCGATGAAGTTCATACAAGTACAGGAAAAACCAAATTCAAGCCCATATATAGATATCTAATGCTAATAATTGCCACCCAAAGACATGCACAAAAAGTGCAGGTTAAAATAGCTGGTGAACAAAAACTTGATGGAATTCTACATGGTTCACTGAAGGGTCTCTGATGGTGAAGCACAGAGTTCCTCCCTTGACTGAGATATCCAAAAGGCTATTCGGTAATATATAGTGTCACAACATTTCTTGTGATTTTCTAACGCATCGACTTACTTTCTTCCTGAACTCCTCCCTGCTATCTCTCCATTGTTTCTGAAGTTATACAATCCAGCAATAGTTAGAAAGCAGAGGAGAATCAACCAGAATAATAGAAAAGGGGGAAAAAATGCATGATCCAGTCATAAACAGATACCATATGCAAGACAATGAAGCATCTCATGTGAAAGCTTCAATGGCAGCAATAAGATGCATACAACTCAATGTGATGAGTTATGTAATAACATGGGGCAACTCGAATTGTTAAAAAATTTATTTTAGCCACTTGTTTCAAAACCCATTTCAATGTACTTGTTCAAGAAACTAATGAAATGAGAGTAAAGATTACATATTTATGGCAAAATAAACAATACTACACCTACCGCAGCATCAACGTTTGCAGGAGACTCATCATTGGGACTGGAAAGCATCGATATGATGCTCAAAACAATGCTTTCAACCTGCAAATTAGAATCACATAAGTCAACGTGGATTCAGTAACCACAAGGCCTCAACATAAAAGGCACGAAAGCACCAGGTAGAAATTTTAGAGAAGAACATGTGTGGTGATGCAAAAGACCAAAATCTTGTGTTGAGAAAGGAACCCCCAAAAAAAAAAAAAAAAGACACACACACACACAAGCAAAATTATCATCAGGAATCAGATTAAGTCATGTGCACAACAAGAGAGAACACATACGCTATGTAATCCTATTGTTAGCTATCAACAATTTCAATCCTTCTGCCTCTAATATCCACTCAAATGCAAACTCAATAAATGTTGCATCGCCTCTGGCTGGTCACCCTTCTGATTAATTTTTTCTCACTGTTAATAAGACTCCTACCTGTAACCTTCTTTGTCTAGTCTTCCTTCTCTTATAGGGTCCTATGTGATTGAAGTATGATGGTTCATATTTAACTTTTGCACTCAAAATATGTTCATTGTTTCAACAGAATTTGAAAAATTAAAAATCACATGGATAAAACCAATATGACTCTCACTCCGTGCTGCTCAGGTTTAACTCCATATTTACTGCATAAACCTACTTATAATTTTTCAGTATTTTCCAAATTGACTGGTTTACTTTTTCACTTGTCCAATGAGCCATACAATGATAACCAACCCCGACACAAACGACCTCTCGTAAACTAAAGTCGTGCCAGGGCTCAGGAAAAAGCACCTCAATCTGGGCTAGAAATAAGCCCCTCAGAACTGAAATGCAATTCAGTCTTGCAGTCATCTCAAGTTTCTGTCCTTATAGTTGCCCATCACCAATATGCACTGCCAATCAGAACCACCATCACATGATCATGCCACAAAGTGGATTAAAATCATGCATGAAAGCAAAGAGTTACCATATACATATCTCTTCCGACATTCATCCTTATCCACGTACCAAACAGTAATTCAGAACTGCAAGTGGCAAATCGTTATCCAAACACTTGCAGCCTTCAAGTGGTAGATGTTAGATAGGAATAGAAAGCAATATATGTCACAGATATCATTAGAACAAAAGAAATATACAATTGATAGGATTTTACAGTGCAGCTTCTTAATGTTCATAACAAATGCAAACAAAGAGAACAAACAATTATTAAGCCAAAATCCCACTATGTTTGATAGGATAAACCGAAGAACAGGAGAAAGTAAGCAATGTACTTGGACAACAGCCAGAAATTCACACACATACTGCAACAAAAAAGGGGAAAAGAAAAACATAAAAGCATCACATACAGTATGGACTGGACTCCAGCGCTCAGTTGCAAGCTCGTAGCCATTTGGGTCATCACCAGGAGGATGAAGAATTGATATACAGACCTTTCCGTCTGGGTAAACTGCAGTTCAGGGATAGCCAGCCACGTTTAGAACTTTGGTCATTTGAAATATACAATGCAAACATGTAGACACACATGCCAACACACAGTTTCTAAAATCAAAATGTAGCTAAACTATGAATATACATATTAGATTGAGAATAACAGAACAAAAGCACTCACCATTGGGATGCCACATCTCTGAGGTGAACCTGACAGTTGGAGGACTATTTGGATAATTCTTTGGAAAGCTCATGATGGCATTGAAGAATCCACCATCACTGCAACAAGAGAATTGCTCGTTAACAAACAAAACAGCACCAGCTTTTATATCCCATAAATAATGCAATAATTTGCAGGTTAAAGAAGTCCTGTATAATAATTCTCCAGAAACAAAATACTACATCATTTAACCAAGCCTTAGTTTCAAACAAGTAGCAGTCTGCCACACCTATCTTTATCCTCCTCATCGGATCATGCCGTTTAAGATTGGACTCCATTGATGTAGGCCATCAATCTACCCTAAACCTATACCTGGCTAAGGATCAGCTATACTGGACCAGGCACAAAGTAAAACCCACATAACCCCAGCTCCTCCATTAACAATTTGACAGTTTTTTCCTCCAGAAAACACACCATAAAGAAGGAAGCTCCCAGCTCAGTGATGTGTGATGTATAAAAGCAAATTAGGTTCAGCTAATCATCCAATTGAAACCAAACACTGAATATCAAATAAATAGAGGAAGTAGATAGTTTTGATTAAGTTCAGCTCAACTTCTCAAACAGAAATCCAAAATCATCACTCAAAATTAATTAACCATTATTGAACTGAAAGAAAACATAAACCCAGCATCATGATGCAAAAAACAAGAATATTATCAACATCGGACAATCAAAACCCATAAAATAATTCAGATGGAAAAAAAGAACGCAATTCTTGACACCCCAACCGACCCAAAATAAGAAAAATTATCATAATCTGAAAACATCCAAAGATCGAAACTTTGAATTCGTAAATACTACTCACTATAAGGTATCAGGGGGTCCAATAATTGAAACGCTCCATTCAAACACGTCGCTTTCGTCAACCAAGCCAGCAGAGAATCCATCAACTGGGTTCTTGCAGAGATCTGAAAATTCAATCAAGAAACGATTAAAGATTAAAACTTTGGCACAAAAGAACAAAAACTAATTGAAAGTAATTGTTTTTCGGGTGACCTCGCAATTGCTTTTGCAAGAGGAGACTTGCTTGAGACGCGGCCATTGATTAGAGCGAGAAAGAAAAGGCCGCAATTGAAGCGAGCGAGGAGAAAGATTTATCAGGCACTTAAGAGGGAGAGTTTTTTTTATATTACTCTTATCTTTTTATTCTTTTGGCGATTTGCCTTCAACATTTATAGAGGAGGGAGAGATAAAAAGCACGAAAGAGGAAATTGACTTTAGTTCGTTCCCTCTGGACTCTAGTTCTACTGAAGGAAACCGAATCTATCTGTGTATGCCACGTAGGATTGTTTCCCTCCTTTTTTGTTGTTTTTATTTTTTATTTGAGTAAATTATATTTTTACTCTTATAGATTCATCAATAATTCAATTTTGTCTTCGTAGTATACAATTTCCCAATGCTATCTTCATATTTTTTATTAAAAAAATAATTTTTACCTTTTACTACTGAATAATTAAAAAGAGCTTACGTTTTAGCATTTTTATTCTATTTTTTCTTATATTTCTCTCATTTTTTTCATCTTAAATCCTCATTTAATCTATTATCTCACAAAACACTTAACAAAAAAAAAAACTCTTGAATCAATTTCAAAAGCTGCAGTATGATGGAGTTGAAACTTCTCGAAAACCAAAAAGGTATCATTAGAGATTTTTAAATTATAAAATGAAAGTGGAATATTAGTGAATCTATACAAATAAAAATGAAGTTTATTGTTTTAATTTTTTTCCTTTTTTTGAAGTGAAGTTTACCGTTTTATTTTTTATTTTTTATTTTAAAAAGGAAAAGGGAAATTTAATTAATGACGTGGCCTATGAAGCTAAAATATTATGGTGAAATATGCATGTTCAATGGATGCTAATATAGATCTGTGTACACTAATTGAGGCGGATACAAAGAAAAAAAATTTACCAAAAACTTTTAAGCTCAGTGACAATAGTATATTGTAACAAGCAATCATGCATTCAAATCCTAATTATGTTAGAACCTTAAATGTATAAATTGTAAAAAATTCTAAAAAATAAATGGAGAAATTTTTTTAATTCACATTGATGGTTATGGAAATATATGTTAACTACTGGTGCAGAGATCGAGGTAAATGTAATAATGTCTAATAGATGCATAAATTTATTTTTCATGTCAGCATATATTTATATGCATAAATTATTATGGTAATTGAAATGTATATTTATTTTAATAAACATGTAATTTTTTTTTGTACTGATTGTAATTGATTTTACATATTTTCTTTATCATATTCGTTTTAGATTATAAATTTATGTGTTTCTTTACTAAAAAGGTACTATAAAATATGTCGCATACCTCCTATAGAAATAGATGTGGAGGATTAACGATGGTTTTCGATTGATACGAAGGGACGGAGGAATTCATTGAGGTGTAGATGGCGGATGTGTCCTCCGATTAAATAGACCTTCACCGGTGTTTATGGACTGAGTTGGTTGGGCTGCCTCGGGTATCGTCTTTCTATTTTTGATATACGATTAACCGATCTAGACAAGCATGTCTACGAGAAAGTAGTAGTTTTGCCCTGTACAGACAGTACTAGTTTTGTTGACAGGCATGTCTGCGAGAAACCAGTCGTTTTGCCCTATATATTATTCGAATTTTGTTTTGTTGCCCGCGTTATGAATATGGAACAATAAAATTATTTTAATTTAATAGCTCCTGTCAAGCGAGTTAATTAAATATATCGAATAAAAAAATCACCAAAATTAATAATTTTTTAATTAAAATTCTTTATTTAATTTATTTTTTTATTTTTTTATAAATTTTTGTTCTTAAAAAAAACTTATAAATTTTTGTTCTTAAAAAAAAACATGCTTTGTTCTTCTTTATACATTCATTTTTAAATAAAAACCTATAATAATCTAAAGATAAAATTTAATTCAAAATTTTTAAAAAGTACCTTAATATTTTTTTCCAATAGATTGTATAAAAAAAGTTACAAATAAAGTAAAAGGTTGTGTAAAAATTAAAAAATAAAAAATAAAATTTTATTCGTATTTAATACTAACGAGAAGATTTTTTTTTGAAAACATATAAATTTGATTTATATGTATTCAGTCACAAAATAATCAATAATATTAATATTTGAAACTTTATTTGAATCGATTCTTTTAAAATTTATTTGAAAGAAATTAATTTTAAAATATTCAAAGGAACAAAAAATTAATGACAAACAGTTAGTGTTACTTAGTATTATATGTATAGATGCATAATTAATCTATAATAAAATTATATATATATATATATATATATATATATATATATATATATATATATATATATTAAATGCATTAAATGAATTTAAAGTTAATAAATTAAAATAAAAACTATTACAAAATTGATCTCGACAAATTTTGATTACATGAAGAAAAAGCAAATAACACATGAATTCTATTTTTTATTAATTATTTAAAAAATAATTCTAAAAAATTGAGACAAAGTATATGAAATACACCTCTAACCTTTTGATTTTGGATATATATAAAATCATAAAAATCCATCATATAGATTGTATTAATATATTTAAAAAAAATAATCATAGTCTAAAATTTTATTTAATAATTGATATATAGATAAAAATAAATCATTTTTATTAACAGATAAAATTATATAAAAAATAAAAATTAATTGAATGAGAATTTTCATAAAAAATGAAAAATTTAAGATATCATCCTAGAACCTCAAAGAAAAAAAATTCAGCTTAAGAAATGACAAATCAAAGAAATCAGATTTGTTCATCATCAAACTGTATATAAAACCCCAAAAAACAATGATTGTTTTTCAATAATTTTCTTATAAAACTCAATAATTAAATAACAAAATTCTTGAAAAAAAGAAAAAAGAAAACAAAACCAAGCTAAGCCTGCGCCTTTAGGCCTGTAGAAGTAGGCCCGCATGGCTCGACCACGTTTAAAACAAAAACAAACAAATGGACGATACATCTTTTGCTGCTCATAAGAGATGTGTCCTCCTCTTCGAATTTTGTACGAACTTGAGTTTGTTGAAATCTTGGTCGAAAAATCAAAATTTCTTTTGACTTCAAAACCAAATTAATGCATCATTTTTCTCCAAAAAAAACTTTTAAAATATTGAAATAAGGTTAAAACAAATTATTTAAGAATCTTAAAATTCACTTCAATACACATAAAAAAAATTAAATTCAAAAGTTCAAAATATTAAGGATCCCATCTACCATTATTTTATGAATTGAAACTATTATAGATAAACTTTTCTCTCCATGATAAACAAATCAAATGGAAGATTGTCAATAAAAATGGCTGAAATAAGTCTGATCGTGACTCTTTCTCTCCTCCCTGCTCTTTTTTTGTTTTTCTCTCTTCTTTGTATTTAGGAACTAAATTGCAATATAAATAAAGTTAAAAATCAAAACTAAATCATTTGAAAACATAAAGAAGCAAATTGTAATATTTGAAAAAACTCACATATTATTGTTGAAAATATATTAAAATTACAAAAATATCATCACACAATAGAAAAGCATAGTGCACGCGGTTTAAGTTCATAATGTAATTGAATGTGGATGAACAATATCATAAACAATAAGAAAGTTCAAATATTTTAGTTTTTTTTTATAATGCTATTCTATAAATATTATTATTTTTTAATTATTTTTATTATAATATTTATTTAATTGGTAAGATTCTCTCGAATTTATCAATTTTTATTTAATTGGCCAGGTGTTATTAGGAAATTAGTACTCTAAGATTTTTTTATGCGGTATTATAAGGGTTTTTGGTTTTCCTATTTAAAGAATCCGTACATCTTTTGGCAATTAGAGAATTGATGTGTGCAATTTGACTCTTTTAGATGTTTTTTTTTTTTTGTACCGTTTTGTTATATATATATTATTAAATAAATCCATATTTCTTGGCTTTCTATATTGCATCACTAAATACCACAAAAATCATGTCAGTCAGCATCTTCGCTTCTTGTTTGGACACATAGTCATTGATGGCACGTAACTTGGATGAATCGGGCTGGCTTATGTTAATCTTCTGCATCCCTGTTATTTACTCATCAAAGATATTGACATTCTTTTAGTTTTTTTTTTTAAAAAGAAAAAAGATATTAAGATGTTGGTTGAGAGAAACAAGTAATGCTACTAATTATTCTTACTAATAATACTAAAACAAAACCTATATTGACATTCGCTTTCAAGTTTACAAAAAATATTTTTTTAATTCTTGATTAACATTTTAATTTAAACTATTACATGGTTTTATGTAAAAATTAATATATAACACATAATAAATCATATTTTTGAAAATAAAAAATATAAAAAAATTTATAAAATTTAAAAATGATTTTATTTTTGCAACTTGAGGTTTAGCGTGGGTAAATTGCTAGTTTTTTAGCTAAACTAACAACGTCAGGGGATGCTATAGAGTATCTAGATGGTGTCATCCTCTTCCATAGCTTTTTTTTTTTTTTTTTTCCTTTCTGGGGATGATGCTTCAATTATGTCATTAAGGCTGTAATTATTGTTTTTCTTGTTCCTCAAATAATAATAATAATAATAATAATAATCTATGGATAATGATCTCCCCTTTGATGTGTGTAAATGTAATTTAAGGTGATTTTTCACGTCCTCCCCATTCACAAGGTACAGTATACGGTCGAAATTCTTACTAAAACTATAAAATGAGCGTGACATTCATTAAAGACGGTGGTGGTTTGGTGGCTGTTGTGGTTAAATGACATATTTGCGCTCCCTTGGCAAGATGATTTTGTTCTAACCACACTCCCACCAGCGTTTATTTTTGCTAAACGGAACAGTGTATCCTTGAAAAAAACTAAACTCTCCATATGGCAATTGAATATATAAAGGTGGCCTGTTTTTTCTTTTTTGGCCCTTTCAGTCTCGCACTGAAGAATGAAGAACCGTCATTTTTCTAAATCATCATTTACTAACCATTAGTAATCAATAATATTTGTGAAATTTTATAAAATAGAAAAAACTAATATTGAGAAATTTAAAGTCCAATTAAAAGAAAGAAA